AAACAACCTTTGCCAGAATAATTGTTTACTATGGCTAACAACATAATGTCAGTCTGCAGATTGTTAGGGCTGTGTTGCTCAATTGACGAGGGAAGAAATCAGGAGAAAGGGACGTAAGGATAAAGAGGAAGAGCAGGATAAGTGGCGATTATTAAGCCGTGATTCTTGTGGGAAACGTGGCTTTGCAGAAAACGAATTCACGTGACAGCACAAGGTCATTTGTGTGTGTGTGCGTGTGTGTGTGTGTGTGTGTGTGTGTGTGTGTGTGTGTGTGTGTGTGTGTGTGTGTGTGTGTGTGTGTGTGTGTGTGTGTGTGTGTGTGTGTGTGTTATACGCATTCGTCCGTTTTGTCTTACTTGATGTCCTTTTTTTACGGGGAAACTTAGTGCCTCTTTTTCACCCAGGCTCTCCCTGTCTAATGTGTGCCTCGCCCTCATTATTTACGCACATCTCATAATTCCCCACGCGAATATAGGACCGGCGCTTTGTTCCCTCATTTTGATGTAAACCTTGAGATCGTTGACTCATCCTGTCGGCCAGTCTGGAGGGGGGGGGAGATTATAAGACCTGAACCATGAAATATTTCGACTTTGTTTCATTTATCTTACTTCCATTTTAAAAAATGCATCCGCTTCCTGGAGGGGAAATTCGACCTGGAGTGGCATATTTGGGACTCACAATAGGCTTCCTCTCAATATCGTCATTATTATCATGATTACTGTTATTATCATCGTCATCATCATCATCATCAAACGTATATTGTTCTCATCATTACAGTCATTATTTTGTTAGCATTGTAATTTTGATCGCCATTACCATAGTCATATTTTATTGCCATTATTATCACTACTATACAACTTCATTACTCCATAATTTACTATTACCACTAAATATATTTTCGAAGTGAGGAGCTGAGATGATGTGAAAAAAATAATCAAATCAGCACAACACGGCTGATAACAGTGCCAGTATTCATGTCAAGTATGATAAAACAGAAAAGGTAGAAAAGGACTCTACATTTAGTATATCATAGAGTATACTGAGAAAATACAAGACATATAAGTACATAAGTATATTGTCCCAATTATGAAAAAGCGCCTCCATGCAACAGAAAATATTGCCCACTGTATGAGAAAATCCGGCATAAGCTCAGGTAATAGAACTTATTTTTGGTCTAGATTTTGTTCGGTTCTGTGTTTCAGACAAGAGGAATTTCCCACATGATAGAAATATCAGAATTTTCTCTTTATAACTAAAGAAAGAAGAAATCTTACGTTTCTTATATTGTATCGCGATTTTTTTTTTCGATTTCATATTCTTTTTATCTTGATTTTCGATTTTACCTGAAATTGTTTTTTATAAGACTGAAATCTTTTCCTTATACGCCGATCTCAACGACTTAGGACTTGTTGGAAGTTAACCTTGACCATGTCGAAGGGGGGGGGGGGGACAAGCGGGAACAGAAGAGCCCGGGGAGGGGGGAGGGAGGGAGGGAGGAAAGGAGAGAAATAGAGAGGATGGAGAGAATAGAGAGGGAGGGAAATAAAAAAAATAAGAAAAAACAGGATAATAAAGAGAGAAATTTGCGAAAGTGAGGGGAAGGAAGAACAAAAGAAAAGGGGAGAGTGATGGTAGATAAGAGAAGTGGGAGGGGGAGAAGAAGGTGGGGGAAGGGGGGGGGGATTACTTCCTGTGCAGGATAGTAATGAGTCTCACCTTGAAGCTCTCGTTTTGATGACGGGCGGCGCCTGCGTGCACGGCGCCCGCGGGAACGAAAATTGCGGTGTATCCGGTAAATGCGCCCGCATCTTGAGGATGACAAAGGAGCTGGGTGCTCATCCTCGTGCCGGTCTCTCTCTCTCTCTCTCTCTCTCTCTCTCTCTCTATATATATATATATATATATATATATATATATATATATATATATATATATATATAATACATACATATATATATATATATATATATATATATATATATATATATATATATATATATATATATAATATATATATGTATATATATATATATATATATATATATATATATATATATATATATATATATATATATATATATATATATATATATATATATATATATATATATATATATATATATATATATATATATATATGTATTATATATATATACATATATATATATATATATATATATATATATATATATATATATATATATATATATACATATATATATATATATCTGTCTTTACGTCTGTCTGTGTCTGTTTTTAGATCCGTCTGTGCCAGTCTTTATCTCTCCCTCTCCCCTTCTCTCCCTTCCTCTCGTCTTCCTATTTCCGCATTCATCATATCTCCTCCTCTTATTCTTCCCCTCCATCTCCCACTCCCTTTGTATTTCCACGTGGCTTCCCTCCATCCTTGCTTCTCCAGCTCTACTATGCACGTCCCGGACAAAGCAATTTCCTGTCTTAACCTATCATCACAAGGATCTGTGTCCTCATGACCTCCCCCATGGCCAGGGGGGGGAGAAGGGCGGGAGGAGGGAGGGGAGGGGTGAGAGGGGGAGGGAGGAGAGGGGCAAAGCGTTAGGGGGGGGTTCTAGAGTCATATACCTGGAGGCAAAGATCGGCGGTCCTAGCAACGTCGTTTCTGTGTTTGTTTTATTTCATTATTTTGTCTTATCATTGTGACTTATTATGGCGGTCTTTTGTTATGTCTTCATTGACGCGCATTCATCACTGAACTTTACTCTTCCAACGTCTTCTCCTTATATCTTGGAAGATAGCGAACTTATTCAGCGATTTTGGCGGTAAGTTCTCGACCACGCAAGTTATAGTATAGCGAGAGGATTAAAATTCCTCAAAAATCGGTTAGTGTAACGAAACGTGTGTGTGTGGGTGTTTATTTTTTTCAGTTTGCTTTTTTATCTAAATTCCTATTTGGAAAGATAAGAAAAGAACAAGCCTCGCCTTAAAGGGGAGTAATTAATAAATAAACAAAATATTGAAGTTATAAGGAGATAAAGTGTGTAACCAGGCGTCGATAAATCCAAATAAGAATTACTAAATAAAAAAAAGTACATGTATGTATATATACATATATATACATATATAAAAAATATGTAGGCACTCGTCGATAAAGCTGACACTTCGCTTGTTATGATAATGATATACAACCCAGTGACCGAATCTCCTCCAAAAGGTGTTTAAACTACTCCACCCAACTTCTTACCCCCCCCCCACCTCCACCTTCACCCTCACCTTTTCCTCGCCCGAAGGAAGGCGGTTTCTAAAATGCGCAAAATTTCGTTGTTAAAGTTTGTACAACATTGTCATTATTTGATGACTGTTAATGGAAAAAAACAGGTACGGGAAATGGAAATAGACAGGAGTAGACCATTACTGTTTAGCTTCATAAACTTGATTCTGTTGATTTTTCCCTCTTATTTAAGAAAAAAATGTAAAACAAGAACACGCATAACCCATTAACCTCTACAACACCCCACAGACACCAAACATTTACAAAGGAAACGAGAAACGTAACTCGTTCGCGCCGTCTTCGAAACACTTGGTCCCCCCCCCCCCCCCCCCGTGCGGTCTCCCACGGCCCCGAACATGCAAATTCAGAGATGATGAATGTTCTAGATTTCCGACGACGTGGGCGTGCGTTGCAGGTGTTACGGTCGTCCACGCGGGCGACCGCCAGCCCTGGCACCGGCGGTTCGCCCGACCGCAAGAGCCACTGCTGTAAAACTTTATAAAACGCTGTAATGACCAACAGGTGATGAGTGGTTGTCTCACTGTCGTTAAATACCGAGGAGAGTCACGTAATAAAAGTCTAATGAGGTGTATCGTTTAAATGGTGTTGACCTACTCTTTTCATGCTACATTTAAAACACACTAAACAGAGTATTAACATAATGAAGAGGCAAATTTTGCGGTTCAGTTGGATTATTCGGGTTATTATATCTGTGTATGACAGATTGCCACATGTTTAAGCTCCAATCAGTCTACATTACTCTACATTTTTACAGCCCATTCTTGTTCTTGGCGAGATCTTAACGAAATATATGAGCATCACGAACAAAAGTGCAAGAAAGTTCACTACCTGAACAAACTGCACGATTTCCCGTCTGGTCCCCAACTGCAAAGTGACCCCATCGCATGCAGAGCGCTTGACACTCGGCCGGGCGCGGGAAACACGCTGCGTCACGATACCTGATGTGATAACGTTGTGAGGCGTGGAAAAGGAATATGATTCGATGAAGCACGTGAGGTGGTGACTTAGGCGTGTAAGGATCTCCGCTGGCATCATTTGGGATGACGAAGTTCAGTTGTTTAAGGTCTTCTGTAGTTTCCCATATAGACACATACACGCGCGTGTAGATTTGATTTGGTCTAATGAAGATGTAAATTACCAAAGATTAAATTCTACTTAATAAAGTGTTTTTTTTTTCTTTCTTTTTTATTTATCTTTTACTCTCCCGCTTTTTCTCGAAGCAAACGAAAAATTCTCATAGACTCACTCTGCATAACTTTGTAGCACTGCATTTCCTATTTCCGCTCTCCGGGACCTAATTACATAGAAAACGCCCCCCCCCCCCGCAGGAAGCAGGTGCCCTTCCCCCCTTTTTTCCTCTCCTACCCACCTCCTGAAGTTATTAATCAATTATACCTGTCGTGTCCAGGTGATTAGTTACCTCTAACCGGGAAGGAGTAACAGGTGAGGGAGGCGCCGTGACAGCACCATTCTGCCTTTCGAAAACAACCCAGGGCCTTTTCCCGGTATGCCCAGCCCTCGCCCTAATTTTATTCATACGACGATTTCTCTTCCGTTATTCGTACCGTTCTGTGACTTGTGCTTGGTCACACTTTTCTAATCAATTTTCTTCCGTTTAGAAAACAGGAAATAAAATCACGCCTAGTTGAGCCCACCAAACAAAGCATTATTAATGACGAACAAAGTCTCTGCTCTCCATTAGCTAATGGTCCCCTTTTCTCCCGCAGTGCTCAATGTGGCCGCAGGGAAGGCGCCCATGCAGTCGTCCGTAGCCGAGGGAGGCATCCCGCAGAAGGCCGTGGACGGCTCGTCGGCCACGTCGTTCTCCACGGACACCTGCACCCTCACCAACACGGAGCGGAACCCCTGGTGGTACGTCAACCTGTTGGAACCCTACATGGTTCAGCTCGTCAGACTCGACTTCGGACAGTCGTGCTGTGGTACGTCTCTTCCTGTTGTTTGTGGGAGATGGATGTGGGTTTGGTACATATCTATTTGCACATGTTAATGCGATTCATTCACTGTTAATATATAAGCTGGAATATATTCAATGGCTTATTATTACATTTAGTAAACAAAAAATAGATAAATTCATACACTACAGCTTTGCCCCATAAACTTAAATATTTAATGCTGTCGCGCCGAACAGGGAACCAGCCAGCGACGATTGTGGTTCGCGTAGGCAACAATCGGCCGGATTTGGGAGTCAATCCCGTGTGCAACAGATTCGTCGGCCTGCTTGAGGAGGGCCGCCCGCTCTTCCTGCCCTGCAATCCTCCCATGCCAGGCGCCTTCGTCAGCGTGCACTTCGAGGGTCCTCCAGGTGTCCAGCTGTCCATCTGCGAGGCCTTTGTCTACACTGATCAGGTAATGCACTTAGGCGTCACTTTATATTCTGGTGTTAATCAAATGAATACGGTCTTTACTGTCCCACTTACTTTATTGATTTGATTATTTTTTCGAGTAATTTTCCCACTATGATATGGAAAGTCATTTATTGGTGGATAAAAGCGACATGCTTCAAAATCTAACAGCAGTCTTCCCTCGACAGGCGCTTCCCATCGAGCGGTGCCCGTCCTTCCGCGACCAGCCCCCGGGTAGCACCGCCACCTACAACGGCAAGTGCTACATCTTCTACAACCAGCAGCCCAAGAACTTCGACGACGCCCTCGAATTTTGCCGAAGCCGCGGGGGGTCTCTGGTGGACGAGACCAACCCCGCTCTGCAGGGCTTCCTCAGCTGGGAACTTTGGCGCAGACACAGGTAAGGGATGGAGTCTCATGGAGTGCAATCGGCGGTGCAGGGTGTTGCAATTACAGATATTATCAGAATTAGCAACTACCATTTTCGTCATACACAGCCTCTTTGAATAATGTCTACACTGGGGTAATTTGAATATGCTTTATCTTAAGCTTAGGGGCATATAGAAAACTGATAAGAGATGATTTTGAATGGAAGATTAATTTGTTCAAAAATTCAAGTTTGATATGCAAATGAGGATCAAAGTGCTTGTGCGCGCTTCGAACTTGTGCGTTTTGAACAAGATGAATGAAACAGAAAGCTGACCAGCCTTTTCGTTCGTTAAGGGGAGAACAAAACGGCCAGTACTGGATGGGCGCCGTTCGTGACCCTGATGACGTCAATAACTGGAAATGGATCAACGGTCGTGACGTAACCGTGTCCTTCTGGAACCTTCCCGGCGGCAACGAGAACTGCGCCAGGTTCGACGGCACTAAAGGGTGGCTCTGGTCGGACACCAACTGCAACTACGACATCAACTTCATCTGCCAGCACCGTAAGAAAAAAAATGTCAATTCTCGTAAACTTGTTTTCTCAACGATGCCAAACAATACTCACGTAGCAAAATTACTATTCTTTTTTATGAGAAGTACGCTCGACACTCATCAAACCATGGGAAAAAAATATTTTTTTATCTAAGAAAACAGTATACATCCAAACATCGCAAAAAGATTTAAAAAATGACCCTCTCCAAAATCGCCCCCCCCCCACCAGGCCCTATGACGTGCGGGAAGCCCGAGCAGCCGCCCAACTCCACCATGATCGCCGCCAACTACAACGTGGACTCGGAGGTGGAGTACCGCTGCGACCCCGGCCACGTCCTCATCGGGCCGGCGCAGAGGACGTGCCTCGAGTCCGGGTTCTTTGATGAGTTCCCGCCCACGTGTCGATGTGAGTTTTGCTGTGTGTGTGTTTCGTGTGTGTGTTCTGTCGTGTAAGGAGTTTCATGAGGAAAATGTGAAAATATGGCGAGTAAAGGAGTGTAGATGTTGTAATTTCGCGTTCTCTTGTATGTGTGTCTTGTGTGATTTATTCCCTGATGAAATAAAGTGAATGAATGAGTACTCTTTTCTATTTCTTGCCTGAAAAACGTCTAGGTTGACTTGATATGTCGAGGATCTTGCAGTGGTCACAGCGGCGCGTGGCTATATTCTATGACACAGTTCAATACTCATACTGTCTTATGATATCCTATACCATATCTACTGTAATATACTGTAGTATACTGTACTGTACTATGCTAAACTTTGTTCACAGCCCTCTATGATATATTTTTACGACTACCGTTTTCCTTTCCCAGACCTGGAGTGCGGCCTCCCTGCCCCCATCCAGAACGGCGGCTACTACTTCGTCAACGAAACTCGGCATTACCTGAGCATCGTCAGGTACGAGTGCAAGCCG